CGCCCTCCAGCAACAACGGATGGCAGAGGAGTGACGCTCACAACAACGAGCGGAGCATCGGGCGATGAAAATGTAGCAACTTGACACAGTAGGGGGTACAGCTGGATACATCTACCAGTCATCTCAGCCAACCCATGACACCTGCTTCACAGGGCCTCAAAGTGCACCTGCCCTGGGCACAGGCGCCATCGCGACGTCACCGTCACTGAGTGGCGAATGGCGGCTATTGGTCTTGGCAGTGTGTGCGTGGCGCGCGTGTGATTTGGTGCAGTGTTTGCAGTGTGAGCAGCACGTCCTCACAGTCGGGCGAGTTGGGCGAGTCGCGCTCGATCGTGGCGATGAAGTTCAGCAGGAACTCCGTGTTGTTGTTGTTGTTGGCGCTTGGCACCATGTTCTTACAGTAATCCCTGCAAGCCGCGCGCACCACGGACAAAGGTCCCCCGCGTAGCTCACGCGGCCCTCCGGGGCAAGAGAAATGAGCGAGAAGCGCCGATGTTTTATTTCTCAGTCGTGCCGAGGCTCCGGGATTGCCTCGGGATGCTCGCCTGTGGCCGGCGTCGCGGCCACGAGTGGGAATCGAACTCGCGGTTTCACACACGGAGCGTCGCACGCGTGTGTACCTGGGCGCGATGAACACGTGCTCCATCGCATCCGTGGACGATGGAGATAGCGTCTCGAAATCTGCAGCAGCAAAGACGAAAAAAAAACTCAGATGGGACTTCGGTAGCAGGGGGTGGTGGTGGATGGTTCAGTGGTAGGAAGGGTGGGTGGATGGTTCAGTGGCAGGGAAGGTGCGCAGATGGTTCAGTGGCAGGGACGGTAGGTGGGTGGATGGTTCAGTGGTAGGAAGGGTGGGTGGATGGTTCAGTGCCAGGCAGGGTGGGTGGTTCAGTGGCAGGGAGGGTGGGTGGATGGTTCAGTGACAGGGAGGGTGGGTGGGTGGTTCAGTGGCAGGGAGGGTGGGTGGGTGGTTCAGTGGCAGGGAGGGTGGGTGGGTGGTTCAGTGGCAGGGAGGGTAGGTAGCCAAGTGGCACGGTGGGCGACAAAGCTGTGGAATGCTGCGTTGTTGAGGTGGTGACGGTGTGAACGGCGGATGAGATGCAGAGGTGCCGTGCTAGCATGCACGGGAGCTTCTGTTATGCCCCCGATTTTAACATCATTTCCGTTCGTAATATAATAAAATAGTCATCGTCACACGCTTGGCTAAGATGCAGGCTCAGGTGGGTTCACAATGGAAGTATCAGCACCCCATAGATCCCAGGGGGCCCGCCAGGAGGTCCCCACAGTTCTGCATCCCGGGTTGAGATCCCACTCGTCCAGGCCAAGTGCGTCTGGAGCAGCGGTGATGATGGGAGATGGAAGTGGTGGTGGCAGCGATGGTGATGGTGGCAGCGATGGTGATGGTGGCAGCGATGGTGGTGGTGGTGGTGGGAGCGATGGGCGATGGGAATAACGGTAGTTCCGATGGTTCGTAGCCTCGCCGATACTTGCCGTTGCCTTTGTTCGAGTTGGCTGAGCCGCGGCAGAGAGAGGGAGATGTGGAGGAAGGAGGCAGAGTTCGGGAGTGAGAGAGGAAGAAGGAAGAGGAGGGGAGAGAAGGGAAGGAGGTAGAGGAGAGAGGAGAAGGGGGGGGGAAAGGAGGCAAAGGAGAGGAGAGGGGTCATGATCAAGCCGCACGAGACGGACACCAGTGGAGCCGATGGCAGCGCCGCCGCGTCGTAGCGGGGAATGTGAACCACAAAGTGGGGCAGGCGAGAGACAATCCGGGTTCGCAGAAACACAAACAACGCGTTTATCGCTCGGCCTGTCGGAGGCCACGGCCTCCCGCCTGGCATTCCAACGCGAACGGAATCCCCCCCGGGGCCGCGGGCCTTGGACACGCGGCGTCTCGTCAACAGAGGCGTTCTCCTTAGCGGCGGCTGTGATGTACCCGCACGGCATGGTGAACTTCTAGTCGCACCGCACATAGCCACACCGTGACTAATCGGAGGTGCGGAGAGGCGAGGGACGAACGAACCAAGTGCCCCGACCTCAACGCGTGCCCCCCCGCATATCTCCCGGTGTCGCTCAGAGCGCACGGCTTACCACATTTAACCCAAAAAAATCCATTATTTTTGTCAATTTTAAAGAGGTGCAAGGCCCCAATGAGCTGCTACTTAGCTCGTTTTCAGAAGCGACCTGGCTATCGCAAATGATAGCTCGGCAACGTGGCTTATCATCATCATGTGGAACTGTGTAGTAGCCCGATCACTCGAAATGCGTGACCTTGATTCTAAATGTGGAGGGAAAAACCGGAGGACCCGGAGAAGAATCCACGCGACCACGGGGAGAAAGAGAGAGAGAGACACGCAAACTCCAAATATACAGCAGGCGGCAGGGTCGGGATGGCACCCACGACCTCCTGCATATCAGGCGAGGTAGTTAACATCTCCGAGCCACAAATGCGCACTCCGCAGCTTGCTCTGGTTCGACCATCCCGGTGAGATGCGGCTTCCAAGCGTCGCAGGTGCTGTCGGCGAATACCGATCCTCCTCCCCGTGTCCTCCAACCGTCCCGAGTCCCACGGTAGCTCCACGCCTCCCCTCCTGCCCCCCTGCAGCTGCCCTCATGGGGACGCCCCCCCCCCCTCTGCCCCTACCCCCCGGGGCCGAACTCTGTGGAACCGCGGCGCGGGCCGACGCCTTCGGACGCTCCGGTGCCGATGGAGACGGCGGGGATGCGGTGCGGGTTTTGTTTGGGTGGCGCAGTGCGGTTGAGTGGGGTGTTGGGTGGTGCGGTGGTGGTGGTGCGGTGTGGTGGGTGTGCGTGTGGTTGGGTGGTTGTTGGTTGTTGGGTGGTGCGGTGTGGTTGGGTGGTGCGGTTGAGTAGTGCGGTGCTTACAGGCCGCCTGAGTGATCTCGTCGCCGCTCAGGAGGGCCTTGATGTGAAAGAGGCTGTAGTGCGGCAGCACCACCGCCAGGCTGCACACACGGAGGTCACACACAGGGGTCACACACGGAGGTCACACACAGGGGTCACTAACGGGGGTCACACACGGGGGTCACTAACGGGGGTCACACACGGGGGTCACTAATGGGGTCACACACGGGGGTCACACACGGGGGTCATGTACGGGGGTCACACACAGGGGTCAATTAGGGGGTCACACACGGGGCACGTCAGGGTCCGCAGTGGCTTGCCTCCAGCGACAGGAGTCGTGTTGATAGAGCCGCTCGCCTCCACGCCGTGGAGTGGGGCAGGGGTAGCGATGATTTACAGCTCACCACCATCATCATCATCACTACCACCATCATCACCACTACCACCACCATCATCATCATCACTACCACCATCATCACCACTACCACCACCACCACCATCATCATCACCACTACCATCATCATCATCACCACTACCATCATCACCACCACCACCATCATCATCACCACCACCATCATCATCATCATCACCACTACCATCATCATCACCACCACCATCACCATCACCACCACCACCACCATCATCACCACTACCACCATCACCATCATCACCACTACCACCACCACCATCATCACCACTACCACCACCTCCACCGTCATCATCATCGCCACTACCATCATCATCACCACCACCACCATCATCATCATCATCACCACCACCACCATCAACATCATCATCATCACCACCACCATCATCATCACCACCACCACCATCATCATCACCACCACCACCACCACCATCATCATCACCACCACCACCATCACCACCACCTCCACCGTCATCATCATCGCCACTACCATCATCATCACCACCACCATCATCATCATCACCACCATCAACATCATCATCATCACCACCACCATCATCACCACCATCATCATCATCATCACCACCACCACCACATCATCACCACCACCACCACCACCATCATCATCACCACCACCACCATCATCATCACCACCACCACCATCACCACCACCATCACCACCACCACCATCATCACCACCACCACCACCACCATCACCACCACCACCATCATCATCACCACCACCACCATCATCATCATCATCACCACCACCACCACCATCATCATCACCACCACCACCATCACCACCACCACCACCACCATCATCATCACACCACCACCATCATCACCACCACGACCACCATCATCATCATCATCACCACCATCATCACCACCACCATCATCATCATCACACATGAAGGGGACCCCCCCCACACCGACCCGGAGGCAGCTGTCTGTATGCGGTGCAAAGTGACTCAGCAGCTGGCCTGCAGCGTGTGCGTCAATCTACAGCGTGTGCATGGTTCAGTGGGTGGGTGGGTTGGTGGATAATTCAATGGGTGGGTGGATTGTTCAGTGGGTTGGTGGGCAGGTAGGTGGGTGGATGGTTCAGTGGTTGGGTAGGTTTGGGGGTGGGTGGTCGCGTGGGTGACGGGCGACACAGCCCACGGCCGCCGGTCGGATTGTACTTGAGCATCACTCTCATGCCTCTGCAGCAGACGACTTCTCCCTCCTTTGAGGCTGCCATTCCAGGCACCGAGCCTCGGACCCTTCTCTCGTGCCCCAGACGTCCCCTTCCCAAGCAGATTCATTGTTCATTAATATATATTCGAGGCAATGAAAGCATATCTAATCTTTGACGGCAAAATCACGACGTTCTTTTTCCCCCCCTTTTTTTACAGCCAAGCGATTCCATTTAAAGAGCCATTAAAATGTAAACCCCTGCGTTTTCTTTGGCTCCCACGTGCTATCGGAAACACGAATTATCATGCACGGGCTCTCGCTGTTATCACTGCCTGCCGGGCCTAAATCTGGGAAGGCGTGGGCACGTGGGCACGTGGGCACGCGGGCATTTAATTAGCGACCTTTGGGCGTTAATTTTTTCGTCAATTACTTAAACACCCGCTAATTAAACGTCACGCTTAAGGGAGGCCTATGTGCGCCGTCTGTCGTCGGAAACGGGTGCGAATGAGTGCGTGAGTACGTGAGTGCGTGAGTGAGTGAGTGCGTGAGTGAGTGAGTACGTGAGTGAGTGAGTACGTGAGTGTGTGCGTGAGTGAGTGAGTGCGTGAGTGAGTGAGTGAGTGCGTGAGTGAGTGAGTGTGTGCATGAGTGAGTACGTGAGTGAGTACGTGAGTGTGTGCGTGAGTGAGTGAGTGCGTAAGTGAGTGAGTACGTGAGTGAGTGTGTGAGTGAGTGTGTGCGTGAGTGTGTGCATGAGTGAGTGCGTGAGTGAGTGAGTGCGCGAGTGAGTGAGTGCGTGAGTGAGTGTGTGCGTGAGTGCGTGAGTGAGTGCATGAGTGTGTGAGTGAGTGTGTGAGGGTGTGCGTGAGTGAGTGTGTGAGTGCGTGAGTGAGTGCGTGAGTGCGTTAGTGCGTGAGTGAGTGAGTGCGTGAGTGAGTGGGTGGGTGAGTGAGTGAGTGCGTGAGCGAGTGTGTTAGTGCATGAGTGAGTGAGAGCGTGAGTGAGTGAGTGTGTGAGTGAGTGAGTGGGTGAGTGAGTGGGTGAGTGAGTGAATGTGCGAGTGCGTGAGTGAGTGCGTGAGTGAGTGGGTGAGTGAGTGGGTGAGTGAATGTGCGAGTGCGTGAGTGAGTGCGTGAGTGCGTTAGTGCGTGAGTGAGTGAGTGCGTGAGTGCGTGAGTGCGTGAGAGTGAGTGAGTGAGTGTGCGAGTGCGTGAGTGCGTGAGTGCGTGCGTGAGTGCGTGCGTGAGTGCGTGCGTGAGTGCGTGCGTGAGTGTTTCTGGAGGAGGTGGTGGGGGGTCACTGGGTCGTGGCTCCGAGTTTCAGCCCCAACCACAGCGATTACACCGCGGCCTCCATGGTCCCAGCCAGGTCATTAGTGGCTCACACGGAGACCCATAGACTCACACAGAGACCCATAGACTCACGCAGAGACCCATAGACTCACGCAGAGACCCATAGACTCACACAGAGACCCATAGACTCATACAGAGACCCATAGACTCACACAGAGACCCATAGACTCACACAGAGACACATAGACTCACACAGAGACCCATAGACTCACACAGAGACCCATAGACTCACACAGAGACCCATAGACTCACACAGAGACCCATAGACTCACACAGAGACACAGACTCACACAGAGACCCATAGACTCACTTAGAGACCCATAGACTCACACAGAGACACAGAGACACATAGACTCACACAGAGACCCATAGACTCACACAGAGACCCATAGACTCACACAGAGACCCATAGACTCACACAGAGACACATAGACTCACACAGAGACCCATAGACTCAAACAGAGACCAATAGACTCACACAGAGACTCATAGACTCACACAGAGACCCATAGACTCACACAGAGACCCATAGACTCACACAGAGACACAAGGACTAATACAGAAACCCATGAACTCACACGGAGACCCATAGACTCCCACAGAGACCCATAGACTCACACAGAGACCCATAGACTCACACAGAGACCCATAGACTCACACAGAGACACATAGACTCACACAGAGACCTATAGACTCACACAGAGACCCATAGACCCACACAGAGACCCATAGACTACACACACAGAGACCTATAGACTCACACAGAGACCCATAGACTCACACAGAGACACATAGACTCACAAAGAGACCCATAGACTCAAACAGAGACCCATAGACTCACACAGAGGCCAATAGACTCACACAGAGACCCATAGACTCACACAGAGACCCATAGACTGACACAGAGAGACAAGGACTAATACAGACACCCATGAACTCACACGGAGACCCATAGACTCCCACAGAGACCCATAGACTCACACAGAGACCCATAGACTCACAAAGAGACCCATAGACTCACACAGAGACCCATAGACTCACACAGAGACCCATAGACTCACACAGAGACACAAGGACTAATACAGAAACCCATGAACTCACACGGAGACCCATAGACTCCCACAGAGACCCATAGACTCACACAGAGACCCATAGACTCACACAGAGACCCATAGACTCACACAGAAACACATAGACTCATACAGAGACCCATAGACTCACACAGAGACCCATAGACTCACACAGAGACCCATAGACTCACACAGAGACCCATAGACTCACACAGAGACCCATAGACTCACACAGAGACACATAGACTCACACAGAGACCCATAGACTCACACAGAGACACAAGGACTAATACAGAAACCCATGAACTCACACGTAGACCCATAGACTCCCACAGAGACCCATAGACTCACACAGAGACCCATAGACTCGCACAGAGACCCATAGACCCACACAGAGACACATAGACTCACACAGAGACCCATAGACTCACACAGAGACCCATAGACTCACACAGAGACCCATAGACTCACACAGAGACCCATAGACTCACACAGAGACCCATAGACTCACACAGAGACCCATAGACTCACACAGAGACCCATAGACTCACACAGAGACAAAAGGACTAATACAGAAACCCATGAACTGACATGGTTACACATAGACCACATGGAGACGCTGGCGGCAGCGCCTCACGGCTCACGCACTCCGAGTCTGTTGATGTCTCGTTCTCTCCCCAACATACGGAGGCGATTATCGCCGGCATTTGCCACAGCGGCTGGGCCACGCAGTGTGTCAGTGGGGGACTGCAGCTGACCGGGCTTCCAGACGCAGGCTTCGCAGACAGTGAGCATTGGTGACTGTGCTGCGCTGATGAGTCCCAACGAGGACTCATCAGGTGTCCGCCTCCGCGAAGCCGATGCTGTTAGTCCATCACGTTGCCTCGCATTCATTTAGATGGTGGCCCCGGACGAGAGGACCCCCAACGCAGTTCGCCGGGAACTGCCGATGGGTTTTGTTTGAATAATGCACAAAGGCTGAGCGCAGGGGAGGAGAGTGGAGTGAGATGAGAGGGGAGAGGCAGGAGAGGGCGTGGAGGGGAGTGAGATGAGAGGGGGGAGGTAGCAGAGTGTGTGGAGGGGAGTGAGATGAGAGGGGAGAGGCAGGAGAGAGCGTGGAGGGGAGTGAGATGAGAGGGGAGAGGCAGGAGAGAGCGTGGAGGGGAGTGAGATGAGAGGGGAGAGGCAGCAGAGTGCGTGGAGTGGAGTGAGATGAGAGGGGAGAGGCAGGAGAGAGCGTGGAGGGGAGTGAGATGAGGGGAGAGGCAGGAGAGGGCGTGGAGCTGAGTGGAGTGAGATGAGAGGGGAGAGGCAGGAGAGGGCGTGGAGCTGAGTGGAGTGAGATGAGAGGGGAGAGGCAAGAGAGAGCGTGGAGGGGAGTGAGATGAGAGGGAGAGGCAGGAGAGAGCGTGGAGGGGAGTGAGATGAGAGGGGAGAGGCAGGAGAGGGCGTGGAGCTGAGTGGAGTGAGATGAGAGGGGAGAGGCAGGAGAGGGCGTGGAGGGGAGTGAGATGAGAGGGGAGAGGCAGGAGAGAGCGTGGAGGGGAGTGAGATGAGAGGGGAGAGGTAGCAGAGTGCGTGGAGGGGAGCGTGATCCTGTGGTTGATCTGGGCGACATTGCCACGTGTCCCTCACCTGTAGTCCGTGCTCTCCACCTGAGTCCAGGTGTACGTGCGCTTCACTCTGTCCACGTATCTCTGCATCCCCACCACACCAAGAGAGATTATCACACGGAGAGGTGTTAGAGAGCGCCTATTAAGGCCGGCGCAACCTCCGGTCTGGCTGGTGTGGCCGGAGGGGCCCATCCCGGCATAGCCAGCCACCTCGGGCTCACTGCGGGCAAGGTAAATAATTTGAGGCTGAGTAAACCTAGGGGAGTCCCGATGCCGGTTAAAATTCACCTTTGGTGTGTTGAGGAATTCCAATCGAGTCCCTTAAGATTGCAATGCAGCCCTTAGGCTATCAGCAACAGGCCTGCCCCTTTACAATGATGTAATAACAAAGACAAAGAACCCCCGTATAGCCTCTAGCGCCTATGCAGGCCGTCACGGCACACGAGGGGTTGGGTGGGGCAGCACCAGCGCCCGGCCGCCTTTGTCTCCCCCAGTGGCGATGTTCACACACCGGCCTCGGACCAGTTCAGATATTCTCCACCGCTGCCCGTCGGCCGTGAGTGGGAGTTGAACTCGCCCACCAACACCCCCACGCGCTGCCGGCTCCAGACACAGAGAAGCGCGCGTCACGCGTGCCACGTGTCACGTGCCACGTGTCACGTGCCGCGTGTAAATTCGTGCAGAGAGGGAAAAGTTCAGAGGTTGACCGAGAGGCGATTAAGCAAATTTGCTCTGGCGTGAAGATCATGAGAGAGAGCGAGCGAGCGAGAGAGAGAACGAGAGTGAGAGACAATCACAGCAGATTCCAGCCACTAAACAAACAGGCGCCCACGAGCGTGTACACGTGCACACAAAGACACAGATCCCACGCACAGCCTCAACAGACTGCTGGGGCAAGTGCTGTTAGTGAACAGCACCTATGAAGGCCGGCACGGCACACGAAGGGGGTGGGTGGGCCACCACCACGACCGGCCGCCTTTGTCTCCCCAGTAGCGATGTTTTACACACAGCACCAGGTACTCATTCGGGGCTTAGTAAACCTAGGGAAGTCCCGATGCCAGTTAAGTTAACCTGTGGTGTGGTAAGGAATTTATATCGAGTCCCTTAAGATTGCAATGCTGCCCAGAGGCTGCATTGCCTCGGGGCTGCATTGCAGCAACAGGCCCGCCCCTTTCAATGATGTAATAACAAAAGGCAAAGATCCCCCGACTACCGTATAGCCTCCGACAGGCCATCGGGGCAAGTGCCGTTAGCGATTTGCACCGATGAAGGCCGGCTCCGGCACACGAGGTGGGGGGGGGAGGCCAGCACCACGCCCTTGTCCGCCAGGTGAACCCATCTGGTGTACCTGGAGCAAGCGACATTCCAGGTGGAATATTGAAATTAAATAAAATGTGTAAATTCGGCGTGGGCGGGCGGCCGCTCGTCGGCGAGGCTCCGCGGCGGTGAGTATCCGGTGGGCCGTCCCCCCCCCCCCCCGCCGGTAACCGCCGGCGCGGTGTCTGGGAGTGTTCACCGGGGGGTCGCGTGCACCGCGTGCCGACGAAGCCGCGGTTTCTCAATGTTGCCAAAGGGGAAGACTGACACCTGCAGCTCACCTAAACCAAAACAATATTTACGTTACCAGGCCGAAGCCCCGCTGAGCTGCTGTGTAGCTCTTTGTCAGATGCGACCCTGGCCATCACAAACGATAGCTCAACCAAGTGGCTTCGCATCATCATTACCATCATCATCATCACGTGGACGTGTATAGCAGTAGCCAGATACTGTAAACGCGTGACGTTGTTTCTAAATGTGGAGAAAAATCCCTGCGACCACAGAGAGAGAGACACCGCAAACTCAAAATATGCAGCAGCAGCAGCAGGCGTCAGGGTCGGGATGGAACCCACGACCGCCTGTAGACCAGGCGAGGTGGTGAACGTCTCCTAGCCACCAACTTGGCTCCCACGCACAGCAACAACGCGCGGCCACCGCTGGGCACCTCAACTTCTCAGCAGCGCCAGCGCTACGACAACGACGGTCGCGCCCAACGCCAAACGCACTCAAGCGATGTCATTGGTGTTGTTGTCATTGTTGTTGTTGTTGTCATTGTTGTTGTTGTCATTGTTGTTGTTGTACGGCGGAGGAAACGGCTTGAACCCCCCTAACCCCCAACCACGGGGGGACGGCGAGACGACACAGAGGAAGCTGCGCAGGAGGAGACTCGCCTCGTCCAGGGACTTGACCAGCGTCTCGAACGTCATGGATTTGTTCTCGCCGTTAATCATGCTCGCTCTGATCTGTTGCCAGCACGGGAGAGAGAGAGAGAGCGAGAGAGAGAGAGCGAGAGAGAGCGAGAGAGAGAGAGAGCGAGAGAGAGAGAGAGCGAGAGAGAGCGAGAGAGCGAGAGAGAGAGCGAGAGAGAGAGCGAGAGAGAGCGAGAGAGAGGGAGAGCGAGAGCAAGAGAGAGAGCTAGAGAGAGAGCGAGAGAGAGAGAGCGAGACAGAGAGAGAGCGAGACAGAGAGAGAGCGAGAGCAAGAGAGAGAGCGAGAGAGAGAGCGAGAGAGAGAGAGAGCGAGAGAGAGCGAGAGAGAGCGAGAGAGAGCGAGAGAGAGAGAGAGCGAGAGAGAGTTACACTTTTTACTTTTAAGCCACTTTCATTGCTGCCAGCATCAAAAATCCACTGGGGGCGATTTCGATACAAGTCACATAGAGCACAGCGTCACGTCTGCACGTCACAATCACACTACCCGCGGCACGTGGCACTGCACGTGCCGCGCGCAACACAAACACCGCGTTGTCACGCACGCCACGCGCGCGCGCGAGAGAGAGAGTTAGTGAGAGAGACAGTGAGAGAGTTAGAGCAAGAGTTAGAGAGTTAGAAACAGAGAGAGTTAAAGAGAGACAGTGAGGTAGAGAGAGTTGGAGATAGAGTTAGAGAGAAAACAAGAGTCAAAGTACGGGTGCCCGCACCGCGGGACACTGAGCCTGGCGTTCGACTCGGCGCTTCCGTCCGCCAGCTCTGTCTGTCCGTCTGCATGTAGAGGAGGGGGCTGGGGGTTGTGTGGATGACGATACCTCCACTTTTGATTTAAAGCTTTCGTGACTGCAGTAATTCATATTCTTAGTTTTTTCGGTAAAGTCACGTTGAAGAGAAACAACAAAATAACAAAATATATATAAAACAATAAAAAATTCTCACCTGATGATGACCGTTTGAGTTATGGTCGAAACGTCGTGAGAATTTTTTATTGTTTTATATATATTTTGTTATTTTGTTGTTTCTCTTCAACGTGACTTTACCGAAAAAAACTAAGAATATGATACCTCCACTGTTTTTATTTCACCAGGTAAAGCCCACTGAGCTTTGTAGCTCTATTTCAGAAGTGGCTTATCGCGTGGGAATTTAAAGCAGCCAAATACTCTAAACGCGTGACGTTCATTGTAAATGTGGAGGGGAAAAAAAACGAAGGATACGGAGAATAATCCACGTGACCACGGGTAGAGAGAAGCAAACTCCAAATATACGGCAGGAGACAGGGTCAGGATCGAACCCACGATCTCCTGCCGGCTCTTGGAGTAGAGTACAAGGCTTTGCTGTCAGTCGTTACGCTATGTTAATGTAGCCCCGAGTCCTCTGATCCCATGATGAGGTTGGTATTTAAATGAACACGAGGCAAGCCGATGTGCATGTGGCACGGCCAAACCAGTTCATGGTACGGCGTTCCAGGTGGTCCCGGCTGAAATGAGACTCTGCTGTTACAGAGCCCTCTCCAACGCCTGGCAAACAGCGCTGGCACCCATGAACCCCACTCATCCACCGACCCATCCATCCACCAACCCACCCACCCCACCCACCCACCCCACCCGCCCACCCCGCCCCACCCGCCCCACCCGACGCCACTGACCTGCCAACCCACTGGCCCGCCCACTCAATAGTCTACACCAGGGGGTCGGCAACCTTTGAGCAAAGAAGAGGAATCGATTTTTTGTGTTTTTCTCTTCGACCCAAATCGTTCCGAGAGCCGCACCACATGCAGAGCAGACGACAACAACAACAACACATTCTGACTCAAATAAACAAAACATGTGATGGAATTAACTGCGTCTCTTTAGTCCCCCCCCCACTTGCTTAACAATCGCGTTAGACTGTTGTATATTTTGTCTCTCCCCAAGACATGGCACGGTGACACGCATTCCTCTGCCATATTTAATCAATTATCTTGACGTTAAATTACTTTTTCAGATTTACGTTTCGTTTTGAATTTTATTATTTCCCGAGAACGGCTGCCTGCATGGTGGGGGGGGGGGGGGGCAGCCAAAGAGCAGCAAGGGGGGCAGCCAAAAAGCAGCACCGCACGAGCCGCTCAAGAGGCGCGGCTTGCCAATCCCCGGTCTCCGCAGACCGTTGGGGCGAGCGCTGCTAGCGAGCAGCGATGATGAAGGGGGTGGCCAGCATCACGCCCGGCCGCCTTTGTCTCCCCCAGCGCACCAGGTACTCATTTGAGGCTGAGTCGACTTAGGGGATGCCCAGGACCGGTTCAGATAATCGTCGCCGGTGTCAGTGGCCGTGAGCGGGAATCGAACCCGGGTGGCCGGGTTCGTGGCGCTAACCGCTACACCACCGCTCACCGCACATAGACACGCGAAGACCAAGATCCCCACTACAGCCATAACAGACTGTTGGGGCGAGCGCTGTTAGCGAGCGCCTACGAAGGCCGGCACGGCACACGAGGGGGTGGGGTGGCCAGCACCACGCCCGGCCGCCTTTGTCTCCCCTCCAACGCCGACGTTTTACACGCCGCACCTGGGGTAGTCCCTACACCAGTTAAAATACAGCATTCACCAGCGATGTTGGTCGGGAATCGAACTCGGGTCGCCGTGTTCGTAACGCCGCGCACTGCCCACTGTGCCACCCGATATATGCACGCACGTTGAACTTCCTCGCCACCGCACGCAGCCAACGGTGCTGATCGGAGACGCGGTGGTAAGAAGACAACAGACACTCAACTAGAGATCAGCTGAACGAAAGCGGGGGGGGGGGGAGAAGGGGGGGTAAACCCCAATGGAGGCCGCCGCACCTCCAGCTTCCTAGCGCTCTCCAACTCGGCGTCCACGAAGTCCAGCGTCACCGGCTCCTGGAAGTTGGGCAGCTGCGCCGCCGCCGTCGCCGCCGTCAACCCGACGGGAGAGAGGGAAGAAGCGTCAGTGAGGGGCGACCGTCCACCGTCGACACGACTGGTGCGATCCACGACCGTCATTGTTTATTTGACGAGCGCCGGGGTTTTAGGTCGCCGCTCGGGCACGAGGCCACCGCTCGGCCGCCGCCCTCCGGCTCGAGGGGGCACCTCGTGGGCACACGGAGCCAGCTGCCTTTAGTTTTTCAGCAAACGAGGAGGAGGGTGTTTGAAAAGCAGGCGCAAAGCAGGCAGCACGCGTGCGTGTGTGTACGTTGAGCTTCTATCGCACCGTACGTAGCCCACTGCGTTAATCGGAGGTGGACAGCAAATGAACATACACAAAGCAGTTCTCTTGAGTTTACAATCTAGTGGCTTCCTAATATCGGAACACCACCGGGGCACCATGGCACCGGAGCACCGTGGCACCATGGCACTGTGGCACCGGGGCACCGTGGCACCGTGGCACCGTGGCACCGGGGCACTGTGGCACCGGGGCACCGGGGGGCACCGGGGCACCTCGTCCGAGAGTCGCGGGGCGCCTGACCTTGGCAGGAAGTTGGGGTGCAGGAGGACGTAGCCGTTCGGGTCGATGGCAAAGAAATAACCGTTGGCTCCAAGCTGCAAAACAGCAACAACAATGGTCGTCATCAGCACCACAGCGACCCCTCGGCACAGCGTCAACATCACCGTGGCCACACAGCGCCATCTGCTTCCCACGGTCAGTGTCTCGTCAGCGCCAGAGTCAGGCTCTGCTTGAACCATTGATGGCGAACTGCCCTCTTTCGGTAAAGTCACATAGTAGAAAAAAATAAGGGATCACAATAGATCACGACGTCTCGACAGCCACACAAGCAATCGTCTTCAGGTGGGAGAGAGAAACAGGCTGCTAAACAAGTCGTGATGGATATAGAGCCGAGAGGGGAGTGGGGGGGGGGGGTGTTTCAGCAGCCTGTTTCTCTCTCCCACCTGAAGACGATTGCTTGCGTGGCGATCGAAACGTCGTGATCTATTGCGATCTCTTATTTAAGAGTATGGATTCCTGCAGTGACGAAAGCTTCAAATCAAGATTGCCCTCTTTAAGATACGTGCTCGTAGATTGGCACGGGAGATATACGAAAGGAATACGTAAACTTTTTCACGGATGGTTCATAAAAGTGAGCGGGTGGCGATTGAAAGTGACACGGCCTGTCGGGACTAAGAGTGGGAACCAGGAGATGGAACGCGCCCCAGAGGACGTCCACCGCGGGAGGAGACGGAGCGACGAGATCGGTTCACGCGGAGGTGCCAGGTGAGGATCGTTTAACACCGTGGCGATGGAGGAGGCTCGCGAAGGACGCTGCTACTGGGCAGTTGTAGGCAGTCGCCCTCACAACAACGAGCGCAGCGCCGGGCGGCTAAAACACAGCAGGTTGGCACAGTGGGGGGCACAGGTGGTGCATCTGCCGGTCATCCCAGTTAGTCAACCCGTGGCACCTGCTGGGTCTGTCCCGTGACCTCCTGTCAGCAGCGAGCCGTCGACACTTCGCGTGGCCTCAAAGTGCACCTTGCCTGGCACAGGCGCCGTGCTGACGTCACCACCAGTTAATGGTGAATGGCCGCGTATTGGTGGTGATAACGAGGCGGTGATAACTGGGCGGTGGTGACGAGGAGGTGATGACGGGGTGGTGATGACGAGGTGGTGATGACGAGGTGGTGATGACGAGGTGGTGATGACGAGGTAGTGATGACGAGGCGGTGATGATGCGGTGATGATGAGGTGGTGATGACGAGGCGGTGATGATGAAGAGGTGGTGACTCGTGCGTCTGCGCTCACGTTGAACTGGTCGGTGAGCTCCTTGATCTCTTTCAGGGACACGTCCACGCCCATCACGCCCAGGATCAACTGGTTCTGGCACCACCACAGAGCGAGGGGGGCAGACACAGTGGCTTTTTGTACTCTACTTGTATGTCCACGGGCGGCAGACACAGTGGCTTGTTGTACTCTACTTGTATGTCCACGGCCGAGCGCATCACAATCTTTATTACTCGTCCTGGAGAAATCTCATGAGCCGTGAAGCTCTTTTGTTTCACAGATGTCCCGTAAGGGGCAAACGGGGTCAGTTACAACAACAAACAACAATAGACACAAACACGATCGGAGTGCAACGTCTAGGAAAGCTAAACAAATCACTACAAATAAATAAACTATACCGCTCGTGAGGCAATTGGCATTCCATGGGCAATGTTAGTCTATGAGCAATCTAAATCTATGGGCAATTCCAGTCCATGGACAATTTTAGTCTGTGAGAAATTCCAGTCTATGGTTAATGCCAGTATATGGGCAATGCCAGTATATTGGCTATACCAGTATATTGTCAATGCCAGTCTATTGGCAATGCCAGTATATTAGCAATGCCAGTATATTGGCTATACCAGTATATGGGCAATGCCAGTATATTAGCAATGCCAGTATATTAGCAATGCCAGTATATTAGCAATGCCAGTATATTAGCAATGCCAGTATATGGGCAATGCCAGTATATGGGCAATGCCAGTATATGGGCAATGGCAGTACATTGGCAATGGCAGTACATTGGCAATGCCAGTATATTAGCAATGCCAGTATATTAGCAATGCCAGTATATTAGCAATGCCAGTATATTAGCAATGCCAGTATATGGGCAATGCCAGTATATGGGCAATGGCAGTACATTGGCAATGCCAGTATATTAGCAATGCCAGTATATTAGCAATGCCAGTATATTGGCAATGCCAGTATATTGGCAATGGCAGTATATTGGCAATGCCAGTATATTAGCAATGCCAGTATATTGGCAATTCCAGTATATTGGCAATGCCAGTATATGGGCAATGCCAGTATATTGGCAATACCAGTATATTAGCAATGCCAGTATATTAGCAATGCCAGTATATGGGCAATGCCAGTATATTGGCAATGCCAGTATATGGGCAATGGCAGTATATTGGCAATGGCAGTATATTAGCAATGCCAGTATATGGGCAATGCAGTATATGGGCAATGCCAGTATATTGGCAATGCCAGTATATGGGCAATGGCAGTATATTGGCAATGGCAGTATATTAGCAATGCCAGTATATGGGCAATGCCAGTATATGGGCAATGCCAGTATATTGGCAATGCCAGTATATGGGCAATGGCAGTATATTGGCAATGGCAGTATATTAGCAATGCCAGTATATTGGCAATGCCAGTGTATTAGCAATGCCAGTATATTAGCAATGCCAGTATATGGGCAATGCCAGTATATTGGCAATGCCAGTCTATTGGCAATGCCAGTATATTAGCAATGCCAGTATATGGGCAATGCCAGTCTATTGGCAATGCCAGTATATGGGCAATGCCAGTATATTGGCAATGCCAGTATATTAGCAATGCCAGTATATTGGCAATGCCAGTACATTGGCAATGCCAGTACATTGGCAATGCCAGTATATTAGCAATGCCAGTATATTAGCAATGCCAGTATATTGGCAATGCCAGTATATGGGCAATGCCAGTATATGGCAATGCCAGTATATGGCAATGCCACAGTATCATGGGCAATGCCAGTATATGGCTATGCCAGTATATTGGCAATGGCAG